GAGTTAATGAGCTTTTGTCTTGAACGAATGCGCCGGAATTGTCTTCTGAATTGATATCTACTGAAGGGTCTTTGTCAGCTTCAAACCTTTGTATTGCAGCGTCTTCAGTGACGCCCGCTTAACTGATGAATGTGATCCCTCTTTGCAGTAAATTGCGAGTCAGTGAATCATGAGAAGACCTACTAAAGCTTCTGCTTCTGTCTCTGTAGGTAGTCGGTAATGTGTTTTCATTTCTGGTCGTGCTGGAGATGCACTTCGTGACCTTGTCTGGTAGTCATCGCGATGATTTCGAAACGGCCGTGCAAAATGTCTCTCAGGAGATTTATTCTGTCTGAATGTTGGTGATCTTGAAGTTCCCTGGGGTAAACCAATTCTTTTGAGCTAAACTATCTTCTTGTTGTCTTCTAAAGAAGGTTCTTGTTGGGGATTTCAGTCTCTGCGTGGTTTTCTTCGCCAGCTGCAAGAAGTGTCATTCTTGTAGCACAATAAAGGATGATGGTTACCATTGCAGTATTGACATTTTGGCCTGGCATAAGAGCTTGATGACGCTTGCTGAAGCAGATCAAACAAGCATTCAACTGCCATAATCTGTTTAGTTTTTCGTTGCGTGTTTTGTATCTAGTACAGTCTATAAATCCATGTGATCCGCCACATCCTGTACAATTTATTGACGGTGGCCTTATTCGGATATGAAACGTTGATGATTCACTTGATTCCGCATCTCGTTCTTGAATGAAACTGATATGTGCTCTTCGTTTTACTGACATCTAGGTTATCTAGCAATTCTGCCATCGTCCATATTCTGTTCGAATCGTATTTACGTTTTGCTGCTTCTTCCTGTACGGTTTTTGGGAACTTGCTTGTAACCGTTTGCAGTAGATTAGTGTGCTGTCTACAGCTTCTCCTTGTCTGCGCATCTCAGTGACCAATGTCAAGATATAGGTATTTTGAAGTTGGCGTGGGTTATTGCCCACTCTTGGTAGTGATTGCAATTCTCGCAGAAGCATTGTTTTATTGCAACGTTCGTCTTGATATTGAGCTTTTAGCTGTTGGATTGCTAATTCGTAGGATTTGGCGCTGCGCGGTATCATTTTTAGCGTTCGTTCAGCGTCGCCTTTACAGCATGCTAGCAGTATGGATAATTTTTCCAAATCAGAGCGTGGTTGATTGTGTACCAACTCTTGAAATAGTTCCCAAAACAACTCGAATTCTGCTGGTTTGCCATAAAAATCGGATACTCGTAATTCATGGCCATACAGATAACGCCAAGAATGGGAGTAGGTCGGTCGGTCTTCCCGGTTGGTCGTTATACCAGCAGTGGTTTGATTGCTTTGCGAAGGTGTCTGATTGATTCTCTTTTGTTGATGATCTTCCATAGCTTGAAAAAGTGAAGTACAACGCTGACTTGTTTCTTGTATTGCTGGTTTTGAACGTATTGCTGGTTTTGAACTCCGTTTTCGCATTGATGAAGCCTCTAGTGCCTGCTGTTGGCACTCTAATTCCACAATTCTGGTCTCCAATTTTCGACGAGTTGAGACACTGATCAGGGCCCGGCACGAGGTCGGCAAATGACAAGCTGGAAATCGTTTTGGGGCCAAAAAGCAAAGGGGAAATCGTTTTTGCGGGGTCCGGGGCGGAGCCCCGGAAAAAATTGGTAGTTCATGCTCGCTACTTATCTTGACATGTCATGTGCCTCAACAGGCGAACACTGGAGTTCGCGCGCGTCAAACCGCGCCGTCGCTAATTGCCGCACGCGCGACGTCGCCCAAGCGATGCTATTTGTAACAGCATGCATGACTAGTTCTCAATGTATGTGTAACGATATGGCACCAAATTTTGTATGCGAACGGAGAGAGGCTAGTGGAAACATAGTATGAAAATTTATGAAAAACTTATGTGAACGGAACGAGTAATTAGCATTTTTTCCGAGAATTTCGCAAAACTGGTAAATGAAGATGTGAATTCAAACGGCTCGTTTGGAACGCGCAGATGAACGATATGGCATGAAACTTGGTAAGTACATGCACACGGACTTGCAGGGCTTAACTGAGGAGTTTCATTGAAAAATTATTTGACTGAAGGTTGTGGCAAACTTTTTTCTGAAAATTTTGCTCTACCAAAGAAATGGAAAAATGGCTCGTTTGCAACGCAGAGGTAAGAAATCGCGCGGGATTCGGTGTGTGTATGCGCAGTAGGACTAAGTAACTAAGTATGAAATTTTATGAAAAACTTATGTGAATGAAAAGTTTCCTTAACTAATTTCCAAATTAGGTCGGCATTTGCCGACCTAATTCCCACCTGAGGTCGGCAAAACTCTCAGCTCACATAATTTTTTCCAAATTTTTACATAAATCTGTTGTACACCTAAAGTTTACTACATGGTGAAATTTTGGTTCCGAAACTCCTCCTCTTGACTTTATTAGAGCCCAAAATCGCATCAGCAGCCTAGCTTTTTAAGATGGAAAGCGCGCTCCAGTCAATCGATACGCGCGGGAGCGGCGCCTCTCATTCCTATGACTGCGTTTCTTTGATATTTTCTCATTCCTTAATCATTTTCTTGCTTATTTTTCTTCCTGTTTCCTATCTTGATCCAGCTGAGGAGTAATTTGAGGAATTTGAGCAATTTGGGCGCTTTTGAGCGCTTTTAGGCGAAGTGTGGCCGGTAATCTCGTCGCACAAGCACAAAACGTCATTTTTGGGCTCAAGGGGGTATTCGTAAAATTTATTGGGATCAAAGGGGAATTCGTTTTGGAAAACCCCGTTTGCCCACCTCGTGCCGGACCCTGACACTGATGTCCACGCTTTCGTCTGCCCTTTTGTTTTGTCAAGATTCTCTCCATATTCTGTGTTAATTGACTTGAAGGCTTCCAGGGCACGAGCTTGATTGCTATATTCAGCCATTATTTGGTTTTCCTTTGTTTTCATCTGATTTATCAGGTTACTCAATATTGCTGTGTTTGCTAGTATGAACTGAAGTATCTTATCAGCATTGGTTGGGTATTGCCAAGGTCTTTGAAAGTATTTGCTTCATCGATCATGTTGGCAAGCTCATTGAGTTGCCTGGTCAAACGTTGCTTGCAAGATCTTATGTTGAATTCAGAAGTCATTTTTCAGATACGATAGAGGAAGAAGATATCTCAAATGCGCAAGAGAATGTGTTCATCACTATATATACGTATTGCTGTGTTTGGTTAGATAGTGGAGGTTCATAGCGCGCATTTGTTTTGTTTCTCATGCCGATTCAATAAACATTTTATGTTGGTATCTCATTCTTTTCTTTAAATATTTGCCTTGTTTATATATCTGTATCTGCCTGTCCGCTTTGTTCTGAGAACTTGATGACTAATGCCTACCTTAACGCGTCGTTTGTGTCGTTGCTTTTGCTAAAGACCAGATACAGATAGAGTTTTCCTACAATTTGTAGAACTTGTTTTGGCAATAAATTCAACACCAGTGAAAGTTGCGGATATCCTACATGGCAGTTATTTCAGGTTGCCTGCCCTAGACAATTATTTCGGGTTGTCTTCTCTAGGCAGTTATTACAGGTTGCCTGCCCTAGACAATTATTTCGGGTTGTCTTCCCTAGGCAGTTATTTCAGGTTGCCTGCCTTAGACAATTATTTGCCTTTTTGGTTTGTTTTTGATGGAGGCTCCTTGATTTGATGTTTTTAGCTTTGTAGCGCGATAGAAGAAAGTAGAATATGGATAAAAGACTATTTGAGGTGAATGTGACCAGGCTTCACAACATTTCGGTCGCAATAGGAAAGAAAAAAAAAGAAAAGGAGTACAATAAGAGAAGAGAGAGGAAGTAATTGAAAATTCGCGCAATTGTTTTTGAATTGATTTATTTATGAATCCGGCCGATGCACCATGTCTTGGCCAACAATAGTAACAGCCGGGTTCCAACGTTTATTGATTGACCAAGTGTATGTTAGAAAAGATATGATAAATTATAAGCACGATGAATTTCTTCGCTTTCTAAGCCCTCGCTTTATATCGGCTCTTCTTTTATATCCCTCGCAGCGGTCCCGCCTTCCTCACATCGTGAGAATCACGACAGTAGCCAATTTGTAGAATTTTACTACCTACCCAATCTACTTATTAGGTTGGCTCGAAAGTTCTCGGACACTGCATTTAGATAAAGTTTTTGTTTGAATGTAAGCACTGATACGGGCATGCTGCATACCATTGGATAGAAAAAAGTAATTTCTACAGAAATGGTGAGCAGAAGCAACATCAATGTTTTCTGTAAAAACGCGGGCGAAAATTCCAAAACATAGGATTTTGACCTAACCCAATCTCCAGCATCTATAAACGTTTTGAAATCCCCTTATGCCCCTTATAGTACAAGCATACTTATTTACCTACAAGCACAGTTTGTGCAGAATTTGAACTTAAACAAGCTTAAACAAGAAGAAAAACAAGATGATTGAAAAGTGGCAAACTCCGCCCCCATTGGTCCTAGGCTCCTCCCATTTGATTACATATCGCTACAAGCGAAGGAGAGTGCAACTGCAAATTTTCGAGGATGTACATGCATTGGCTTTCGAGAAATAGGAAACTTAGTCAGAAAATCTCCCAGAACTTTCGAGCCAACCTAATAGAATTGTTTTGAGTGGTGAAGCATTATTTGTATTATCTCCCAATTTGTAAGTAGTTATCGTTCTCTAACCTATAATTTTGATTGAGGTCCATTGGCGGGCATCTTTTGAGATTTACATTCGTTCATGCAGCTTACCGCAAAAGGAAGTGGAGGAAGGGGGGGGGGGGAGGAGGGGAAGGGGGGGGGGGGAGTGGAGGGTCGTACGGATGGGTATTTTTAGAGGGGGTGGGGTCGTAAATGAGGGCCCCGGATCGCATCAGCACGCTTGACCCTGACTGTATGTTGAAATGAGCTATAATAATACCTAGCCAAACAAAACAGGTAAAGTTTTGAACCTATCATATTATACTGCATCATGACAATATCAAAAGAAATTTGCAAACTAACCAGTCTTCTTTTAGAATATGATGCGTTATTCTGTTGTGTTTACATTACTGTTATTCGTTTTGGAAATCTCAGTCGAGGCGAGCAAGAACGAAGTCTTTGCTCCTGCAGATCTTTGCTTCGTCCATACTCCTCGCACATGCAAAGCACACTGCTTGGAAAGTGTATGCCTTATTTACTGCCTGTGTACTCATCTATTCGAATAATCAATTTGAGTTCAGAACTGCCAAAACGGACGCTGCAAATTTGTAGAAGTGCAGGGAAGACATTTCCTCGCATTACGATGTGTCTGTGAGGATTGTCCCGGTGATCAACAGAGGAAGGAACAGCTTCATTGAACAGATGCACGTCTTTTGAGCTTTTTGCGCAAACCACCATTATGAATCTATTATGATGCGATTTAGTCAATGTTTCCACCACATGACGATATTATTCAAGTTATCAGCAACATTCACATTTTAAAGTACGAGAGAAAAGCTGGTATACTACTACTATTTATTTTACCATGTTGACACAATTTTGTTCTTGGCCCCACTGTCAAATGTTCAGAATTAGTAGATTCATGGAAGTGCACGATGAATTACCAACTGAAACACACACATTTGCGATCTCCGCGCCAAAGTGTCCACTGTCAGCATTATACTCACGTGGATGACAGCGTGCATACGCGCGTATGCACGCCGGAGCTTTCATTTAGCACTTTCGCGCATAAGACGTATGCAAACTAGTTTTTCAGGTGGGAAGAAATGCTAAGGTAAGTAACAATACTGGTGACCCGATTGTCTATAGAGTCATCGCGGTAGCTCCACAAAAGTTTAGAACGCAAGTTTAGCTATTGAAATATGTCAATTACGCTTTGCTGAGAAACTGCTAGAAATTGTACAACTGTTCTGAGAGGAATCAGAGATGAACTTATACAAAAAGAATTCAATATCATAACGCTTTCCTCAAAAAGAGATTTTCACACATAGCCATTGCATAGTTTATTGAGGGAGGAAATGATGCAGAAATCTTTGTGCATGTAATTCCTGATAGGACTCTGTAAGATACAAGTAATTTTAGAAATAATAGTTTGCATGTTCTATACAAGCGTCAAAAAAACTTCCACATAATGATTTTGTGTATACGCGCATATGCACGATAACATTATATGGGAGTTTTTTGACACTTATTCATGAAACACATCACTTTTTTTTCAAAATTACTTGGATCACGGAACATAGGGAGGGGGCATCAATCTATTGAGTAGATCGGGCCAAATTGCAATCACGCATCTCAAAAAATCTGCTTGAAAGTAGATAGAAATACTTGAGACGCAGACAACTCGCAATCAGATTATTTAGTGGTAAGTTTACGGTCAAACCCGTGATTGTCTTCGGAATTGCTTCCCTTCAGTTATCCACAAAGGATGTCTACATAGACAAAACTTGTTATATTAACGCACCACTAGTAGTACCAACGTTGACACTTTGTTCATATAACTGTTGGTCAAGCTTTTTTACCAAAAGTCTATGAAAGCTTTTTGCTACAACACTAATGAGTATCACCGCCAAAGCGCTCTATTTTGGATCATGACCAAGAAGTGCTAGAAAATTCTTGCGTTATCCTAAGTCATGAACTGGATTGCACGGAGGCAAGTCTTTTTAACGTGTTGGACCGGTGCTGCACATGGTGCAGCACGCTGCTTTGAATGATCTTTTTAACGTTTACAGGAGATTTTCTTCTAGTCTAAGGTTATCAAGTCAAAGGCCTAAGCTTCTACTTTTTCCAATGACTCTGTAGAGTTGTGCCGACAATAATTGTTTAGAAGATATGAGAACAAATCGAACGACAGTTGCAACGAAGTGCGACAACGCGAACGACGCGTGCGTAATTGAAGCAGGACATTGCAATAACGGAACATCAAAAACTGATGTTTGTCAAAATAATTAGCCTTATCTTGTGTTTGTAAAGTAGGTGATTTTCCAAATTTTCAAAGTTATTGTTAGTAAACAATTTAGCCTCAGTATCTTGCACCTAACACAGAGCAGATTCAAGCAATAGAAGCATTGATGAAGGAGCAGGGTACTTCTTTTGCAAAACGTATTCGCACCTTATTCCCTTAAATTATCGTCCTCAAAAGTCTCAACGATTCGCCCAAGTTGCATTAGGCAAAAAGTTTACTTTTTGCGTGTAATTATCATGGGCATAAATAACCACTGCCGGGCTCATAGATCACACTCTATCGAATGATTCTTTACTGGTTGAACTTTCGCTGGATCCTTGTCTCCACCGAATAGTCATGAATTTTTTGTACGGCTCGCCGACTATGCTGAATTTTGGCTTTGTAAAATGTCTGGTAGTTGAACTGAAGACATCAACTTTGTTTAGTCTGCATTGGGAGTATGAGTATTGATGCGCTGAGTCCAAAAAATGTGAACACTTTGATCGTTAATAACTCTCTTGCCTTCAAGTCTTTCGCCGAATTTGGGGGAGCTTGAGGTATTAATTCTGTAGAGTGAGGTTCAATTTAGATATACAGTATGGACCAAGTCATCAATCACTCTTTATTACTGTAGGATTACGATAGAACCTTGAGAAGGATTTCGGGAAAGTGAAAGCGATCTTTGCTTAGGAAAGAAAACCGAAAAGTCAGAAATCTTGTATTGGACCATACAAAGCCGCTAAGCATAAACATCAGCTTCCATGAGTTATTTCATGTTTAGAGAAACATTCGTTTTTTCCAGTGTTCGTCAGAAATGTGATTATACCATTAAAATAGCTCAGGAAACTGGTGGAAACTTTTTAGTGATATCCGCACGCCTGAAAACCTCACCACACAGACCAGATTTTTTTTTGAAATTTTCTTCCATTAAATGGCCTATTTCATAGGCTTTCATAAGGCTTTTGCGCTTTATGCTGATTCCATACCGTATTTCTACATTAATAGAGAGTGACTTAATCGTCCAGACTGCATATCTATGTAAGTTGAACCTCGTTCTACAGAGTGATACCTAAAGCTCGCCGAAAGACGTGAAAGCAAGAGATTTATTAACGATCAAGCAGCCGATCACATTTTTTCTTTTGGGACGCCCTTTATAATTACGTGATTCTCAAAAGAGACGAGATTAGTTCAAAACGACAGTTTGCTTCAGGAATAACATCAAAAATGAAATTGAGCAAAACCTCTCATCAAGTCAGCTTTGAACTTTCAATGCCACCTTTATTTTTCTACATATGACATTGCAGAATCGATATGCCGCAAGATTAGAAGTCCTAGTCAGCGCCAAACATGTGACATCGCCTGATATCTTACAACTAGTAAGCACAAACCATCTTATGTCAACGATTCCAGGCGCTTAAAGGCAGTGTCCATGCAAGAAGTCAATTTTGAGATTTTGTGGTTACCTGGGCCTATTCGCTATGCTGAATCCGAAAATCAACACTGAAGAGCGCGAAAACGGCAAAAAAGGCTCTAACGGAGGAGGCAAATTGCAGGTGGGCGGGGCTGTTCACATAGTGGCATCACTCTCCCAGCTTCAGGATCGATCTCCTTGCTTATGCTAATCGCCCTAACATCACCACAAGCCAACTGCGAAACGCATGACAGAAAATCGGAACCGAGAAGATCACTCCTAAAGCCTGGGAGAGTGACGTCATGGTGTGTACGGCCCCGCCCACCGCCGATTTCCCTCCTGTGTTAGAGCCTTTTTTCGCCGTTTTCGCGCCCTGCAATGCGGTTTATCGGATTCAGCATGGCGAATAGGTGCGGGTAAGCAGAAAATCTTAAGCAAAGATAATGGTTTTAGTAGAGGGCGTACCAATTTGATAACGAGAGACATCCGTACTAGAAAATGATGCGAATTGCTATTGGCGGAGTCATTTTGAGTCTTTGTGCACTTTTTCACGCTCTGTTATTCCTCTTACCGTACATTCCCGGCTGCATTTCTCAAACCAACCCAAAATGCAATAACGCTGGATTAGTATGGATTTTTTGGAACAGAAACGCAAGCAAAGTTTAAGAACAAAATAAAAGCAACATCTTTTTTGGAAGAAATAATAATACGTTGACTAGAATATGGCAGAAGATATCTCCACGCTTTCCGATCTCCAAACTCCAGCTCGTTCCTGCATTTGGCCTAGGTAAAAGCAGGATTTTGCAAAATTCGTGAAAGTATCCCAAGAAGAGTTGGATACTTGCAAATACTTGTTTGTTTCGTGAACACTTGCAATAATACTTAGAAATCTTTACAAATTCAAATTAAGTTTGGAAATGAGTTTTCTTGGGCGTCAATGTGATCAAAAAATGCTAGATTATTTTTCTGGTGCTGATTTTTCCAAAACAGGTCAGAACAGGTCTGCTCAGAAGCACGCATTATGAGCTTTTTGTGCCTAAACAACTGGACGTCTACTATAGCTTTCCTATATCCTGAGATTTTCGAAAATAAGAGTCCCCGAGCGGGAAGTTTATCGACATTCTTCTGAGCGTGTAGCATAGAATGGTTTGGTCTGTCAATCGTCACCTAAAGGGCCGAGCATACTTGGCCGGCCGGGCATACGGCATAACATAGCTATAAAAACATCTGATACGAATCAGAGCTAAAATAATCGTTGTGAGATTGCCCACATGGACACTGTAAGCTGAAGGGCAATCGCCCGCGATGTCTCTGTATTGACTGTCCCGATAAACTTAAGCATCGAGGAAGAAACAGATATTGAACAGCATTTCAGCTATTTTGCCCATAAATTTCACATCAGTAAAAAGTTATTATTATGCGACATGATCGATTTTTCACTATGCAACGATATTATTCAATTCATCAGTAATGTTTACAATTTAACAATCTACAAAAGAATAGCTGGTATGCTTTTTACGAATTCTTGATCCAAGGGCACCATTCGACCCAACGGGGCACGGCACATCTTCTGGTATACAGAAGTGTCGCTTGGACACAGTAGGAGCCAGTTTCTAGGAATCGTCTAAAATTTTTGCTTACGGTAGGTTACTCGGTGCTTATTCATTGCGCTCACTGGGTAACCTACCGTAAGCAAAAAATTGGAACGAATCGTGAAATCTGGCCTCCTACTATGTTCAAGCTGGTACTTCTATATCTTAGAAGGTGCGCCGCGCGGAGCTGAGTCGAATGGTACCCTTGGATTGAGAATTTTCCCGTCTGAGGCGAGACATGGTCACGCTACGGCGATGTCACATGAATCCGGCGATCCGGCGTTTCCTCTAAGACATACGAGCGGTAGTGTATGATGAAATGAGCTATAATGATACCTAGCCAAACAAAACAGGTTTGAATCTTTCTTATTATATTGCACTATATCAAAATCAAATGAAATTTAAAACTAATCTTTCCTCTTTTTGAGAAAAAGATGCGTCATTTTGTTGCATTTTCACTACTGTTCTTCGCTTCGGAAATCTCAGTCGTGGCGTCCAAGATGGTGCCGAACCGTGCAGTTTGCCATGCTTTTTTCCGGTGATTCTGCGTGCAGAGCACGTTGCTTGAAACAACTGGTATGCCTATTTACTCATCTATTCGA